AAATTAAGAGAAAAATATTTGTCTTTTCAAATAATACGATTTGTTTATTTTCACAAAGAGTTGAGACTCATATCTTTATATATTTTTGTTCATTCTCTCTTCTCTTTTATTTATATCTTTTTCCATTTAAAATAACACAACTTTATATCCTTTAAAATAAACACACTTTTTCCCGTAAATTAATTTAACAATGTTTTATCGTGCATAACTTATTTTCAGAAGATCTTTATGATAAAGGTTGCGTTTACGAAAATAACAGCAGCACAATTGCGAATTGACTATCACTAGCATTCTAGCATCACCATTATTGTTGTTTTTCTTTCTTTCGGAAAACCCATTATTGTTGTTTTTACCTAACTTAAATGACTGCAAATACGGAATATGACTTTTGACTAATTGACAAGACTGTACAGTATATTTGATTAAAATATACATTTTATACAACTTTCAATCATTTTAAATAATTTAACTTTGAGTCATTTTAAATTAAATGATCATATTTTGATGCTTATTTGGTGGGTTTATATATTTTCTCTCATCACAAATTCAGGAGAAGACAAGTAAAAATTATCAAAATATATTATTATATTTAAAATGACAAATATTTTTTTTAAATATTTAAATATTTTATCATTTATCAATTTATCATCTATAAATATCAATATAAGTCAGAGTATCATTCTTTGACGTTGGAATGTGATAATTTCCTTTCTCCTTAGTTTTTTTTCCCTTAAAAATAAAATAAAATTGACGGCGTACAAACCAAACGGCCCAATAAATTACCATTTTATCAATTCATGAGTTCAAATTGATATATATATATATATATATATATATATATATATATATATATATATATTACTCCATATCTCTTGGGAGCAAAATGAATAGTCTCATATACAATTGAAAGTTTTTCACAATTTTTTTTGAAAAAGAGGAAAAATAACTCAAATGTCACGTACCAAATTTTGTTCAAAATTCTAAAGGAACAAGAACCATGTGATTAATTTATCTTGTTGTAACTGTGATGTTAATTGAACTTCCCACTTTGTTGGGGTTTCTTGGGAATTTTGTTGCCTGTGAAGATAAAAGGAAGTACAAAGAACATGATCTGGTCAAACGATATATATGGTTGCGATAAGCTGAGATGAAAATTGAAATTTGATGCTTTATATATGTCAAAAGTGTGCATATACAACACATAAAACCATAGAAAGCAAAATCCTTAATTAAATACTTGGTCAAAGAATCTTAGGTACGAAAGAAGAATAATGTATTATTTACCAAAAAAGAGAGAGAAGAAGAATGTGTTTAAATTCATATGAAAGGCAACTACGTGGAATGAATTTTTTTTTTTTAAGTAGATATCAACCGTTTCCAAAGTTCTAACGAACCGATTAATTCAGCTTTGGATTTGAACTATTTTATGATGTATATTTTTAAATTAATGTCTCATAATTTATATACGCTGTTTTTTTTTAAACAAAAAAATTCAATCTTTAAATACTATAAAATATTGTCCAAACAAAGATAATATAAAATGTAAAAGCCTCTTTGACACATCTTTTCTTTAAGTTAAAAGCTGCTTTTAAGTTAAAGATTAAAAAATAATTTAAAAATAATGTTATAAATTATCCGGTGATTCTATAACATTTTGATGATACTCTTAGAGTTTTGGGTAAATCATTAGGATATATATATATATATATATATATATATATATATATATATATATATATATATATATATATATATATATATATATATATGGAGGGTTCTTTTGACTCCAGAGTAAGACTTTTAAGTCTTACTCCAAATCCCAGCCGTTGATGGACGGAAATCAACGGTTGTCATTAATAGTATAATTAATAATTAATTAATTAATATAACTTCCTAAATTATAACCGTTGGATGGACGAAAATCAACGGTTAGGATGGAGAGTAAGACTTACTCTTGAGTCAAATGATCTCTCTCCATATATATATATATATATATATATATATATTGAAAAATTATTTCTACAGCCACTTTAGATAAGGTTATCTACAGCTATCCTTTTTAACTAAGTATGACGAGTTATACTTAGTTATAACAATAAAGCTGTTCTTTTTCTCTCTCTCCTCAGACATTGTTTGCTGCTGTGGCGGAGAGAGAAAATATAATTTTAAAGTATGATCGATCATACTTAATTAAAAAGAACTAGCTGTAGACAAGCTTATTTAAAGTGGCTGTAGAAATATTTTTCCATATATATATATATATATATATATTTATATGTATATATTTAAGAGAGAAGCAGACAAAAATAGGTGAGACCCACACTTTTTTTTTTCTCGATGGGATCCACAGCTCTTTGTGTTTATCTCTCTTTTAAAATGATCTAAATTTGGGTTCATTAAAAGAACACACATTTTTCCATATATATATATATATATATATATATATATATATATATGTATATATATATCATAAATAGAGTAAGGATAAAACTATAAAATAAAATAAGAATTTCAAAAAGTTGATATATATTTTAAAAAAAAACTCTTATGCGAGAATTCAGTTTTTCATTTTTTTATTCATTAATATTATAAGAAAAATTCTTTTTTATTATAAGAGTTTTTAAAATTATATTGGACTAAATTTTTTGCTTTTAAAGAAAAGAAATAAAATTACCTCCCATTGAGTCTTGTTTTATAATTAAATCTTTAATTTTTTTTGTAATTATTAATATGGCCAATCCATTTCATCATGCCTGAGGTTTTTTCAGCAAAATGTCTGATGAATTCAATTTGAAAAAGTTTATTGATTTCTAAAAAATGCTTACTAAAGTTGCTAATCTAGGACTTAGTTTTTTATTGCATACAACATAAGTGCGGAATTTGTATATAAGATTAAAAAAATAAAAAACTGAAGCAGCGTGATAGTGTTTAGGGGCATAATGAACTTCAAAAATACGGTTATATAATATGTAGAATTGGAAAATGAAAGGCTAAACTGGGATATTTTAGGGAAAAAATGTGTGTCGTTTAAGTAAAGTTGTGTCATTTTAAGAGGGAGAAAGAGATAGATAAAGGATGAGAGAGAGTTGACAAAAAAAATAAAGATGTGGGTCCCACTTTTTTGTGAGTGAAAGGATATAAATTGTATCATTTAAAAGGATAAACACTTTTCTCATATTTTAAAGCATATTATACATTTTGTCCCTATAACTTTCTCTTGTTTTTACTTTTTCCCTAATCACCTCTTAAATTTAGTTCTTATATTTTTATTTTTATTTTTTAAATGTTGTTCCTATTAGCATCTCTTTCCTATGTTATCTTACTAACTAATGATATAATTATGGGTTATACTTATACAATGTTACATAAAAAATACTATTTGATCCTACACAAACATAAAAGAAGAGAGAGAAAATGAGTTGAGGAAAGAGAAAATAAAAAATTGTGGACCCCACATCTATTTGTTTGGGTAGGAAAAGAAGCTTACATCATGTTACATAATAGATGTATTTCCCTATAATTATAAACTGTATTACAAATTATTGTTAAGGGTGTTTAAGGTGTGGCTCGCTTAATAACCTGATTGAGTTTCAATCAAATCAAACTTATTTAATTCATACGTTTTATATAATACAATAAATATAATATTATAAATCTCATAATAATTTAAAAATTAATAATATATTATATGACATCTTGATTTAAATTAACATTTATTAATGACGTGACAATATATTTAAGTTAATATAATTCAATGTGAAATATATTATAAAAAATTCATTATTACAATTAAGTTATAATTGATATTTAAATTTATGTATTTTGTTGTGCTTGTCAAGTTATAATTGAATTATTACAGTATCAAATATGATTAAACAAAATGGCATGATTAAAATATTAAAATTAAGTTTGAGATAAGTTAAACTCAACTAAATTCTGAATACTCCTACCTGTTGTATTTACTATAATATTTTTTAATAAAATATAAAATTGTTTCCTACATATTAACGGAACAGTGACCAAAGTGTCACTGTTGGCCAAAAAAATTACCAGACTGCCACGCCAACAGTAAATTTTGTCAAAATGCCACGTAGCATATTTCGCTACACTGTGTAGCGAAATATGTGTGCAAATAATTCGCTACACAGTGTAGCGAAATATGCCACGTCAGACTGCTCAGAACTAAAAATGCCATGTGTCAAAATTGTAGAAATTCGCTACATAGGGTAGCAAATTTCTACAATTTTGACACGTGACATTTTTGGTTCTGACGTGATATATTTTACTACACTGTATAGTGAATCATTTGCACACATATTTTGCTAAACAGTGTAACAAAATATGCCTCGTGACATTTTGACAAAATTTACTGTTAGCGTGATTGTCTAGTAATATTATTTTTGGACAAGAGTGACAAAATGGTCATTGTTCTCGTATTAACTTCAAAACTATTAATCCCTATAAAAAACATACTAACCATGGTCGATTACATAATGCGTGGCGTCCAAGCCTACCCAAGTTTGGAGAGAAATTGTAGTGCACCCGGTACACAACAAATTTGGTGAGCCAAACCAATGAAAAGCCAGCATTTCCTGTGCAATTGTACGAAAAAAAGAAAATTTTATTTTTTTAATACAAGTGTCATGATTTTATGAAAGGCCCATCATACCCCCAGTGCACATTAAAAATTTCCCCAAGTTTGGGCTTTGCACTGTACTCTCGCATACGTGGTCGGTTAGAAAAGAAAGCAAATTAAAGATAACACTTATACCTGTTCTGTCCTATATAATTCCCACATTTCTATGTATATATATATATATATATCTATATATTATCAATTTTATCATTCAATTTTCATTTTCTTTATATTGGTGTCTAAAAATGATTACATACTAATGGAAAATTCCAAATTGTCTAGGTGATTCCGTATGTGTCCAAACTCATCATGTCTACGAATTGAATCTCTCTCTCTCTCTATCTATAAATATGTTACTCATCTCACCGCCCTTATCAGCATTTTCTAGCAACACTCAACATTGTGAAACTTTTTCTCTCTTTAGTGTCTTCTCTGCTTTTATGCTAGTGTGTTACTGAACATGGAAGGAGGAGTACCAGAAGCTGATGTTTCTGCTTTCAGAGAATGCTTATCTCTATCATGGAAAAACCCTTATGTTCTTTGCCTTGCTTTCTCTGCTGGAATTGGAGGGTTTCTCTTTGGTTATGACACTGGTAATTAAGACTTTCATCATAATATCTATGACTTGAAATACCTCCTTTTTTTTTTCTCTCTCTAGGTTTATAAATTATCATATAAACAACCAAAGTAGTGGTAGTGTTGGAGTTGATGAATGAAAGGGTATGTGCAGGAGTGATATCTGGGGCTCTTTTGTATATCAGAAATGATTTCAAAGCTGTGGATAGAGAGACTTGGCTGCAGGTAATGTTCATGAAGAGTCCACAAAACAATTATCACTTTTCCATAATTTTTCTTTTTTTTTTCTTGCAAAATTTGTTCATTTTTTATTGGACGTTAACGCCACTTACTAGTTACTACAATCATTATGGTACAGTTACAGTCATAAGTCATAACCATGCACCCAGCCTTTCGTTGATAATTTTCTCAATTTTTGTTTCTTTGGAAAACATAACCTTAATTTAAAATATAGAGCTGATTCCCAGGAAGAAAAATAATGGCTATTCAAGCAAATAACTTCTCACATAATTTATTCATTTGCAACTATGACTAAAGTTTTTAACAATATAAATTATACTCGATGCTCCATAAGTTTGTTCAGACATAATTCTTTATAAAAGAAAAAAGGCAATGATTGAGCTTTTTCAGCTTTATTTTTTTATTTTTTTAAATATTATCATGTCCGATTTCACATTATTACGCATATATAGTTAAATTAATGTAAAACAAATTTTTTTTAAAAAAAAAAGACATGCATTTAAGCTAGAGATTTGTTAAATATTACTCTTGCTAAAGAAACAGAAGTAAAAAGCATCATCAATAAAAATTAAAGCATTTATTACATTAGAAATATAAAAATCAATTAAGTTTAATTTTTTAAATAACTAAAATATTTAATATCAAATATCAAATGTTTCTTAACTACTGCTTTTTTTTTGGGGTAAAGATCTTAATTACTGCTTTTAAAATAGTACTCCTCAACAAAACTCTTAAATTATATGTATGTAGAGTATCATAACATAGTAATGTGTTAGACTTTAGGCATGTAAATGGCGCATGTTAATGGCAAATATCAAAGACTGTTTTTGTAATTAAAAGTTTACGGTGAGGGTAAACATTACCCAAAAAAGAGGATAATCTTAATCTCAAAAGGGTGTGAAAAACATCTAAAAATTGAATAATTAAAAAATTGCAATTGAACTAGTAAATACGGCTAGTAACTAAGGATTAACAAATTAACGGCTAGTAACTAAGGATTAACAAATTAAAATATCGTAGCTAACATGAATATTTTATGAAAATATTTATATTTTATTATATCACAACCAAATAAAAACTATTGATAGACTGCATTTGTAGTTAAAAAAAAATGATTTGTTATTTTCATTTTTGTGACTATTATGAATTTGGGAAATTCTCGATTCCCACACTATAAAGTAAGTGTGTGTGGGTCCCTAACTTCTTACAACTTGAAATTTGACAGATAGTGGTCCCATAGTTCTCACCATTAAGCATGATTGTGACTAATTTTAACTTGAAATCTGCATCATTCCATAAAAGGAAAAGAAGTATTTAAATAAATAACATATTTTTGTGCTAAATATGCTCGTAGACAAATCCAAAGGACACATTTATAGCATTTAACATCAATTAGGTTAGGCTATTGCTGTCAACAATTCTTTTATAAACCATTATAAACTTTGATTAAAGTTTAAATATTCACAAGCTCATAATGGTATAACTTTTTCATCTCCCAAGTTTTTTCTTACCCAATAATCATAATTTGTTTTTTTTTCATTTATTTTTAAAATTTGGTAAGAAATATTATGTTATAGAAGTAATTTCAATTTTTTTCCTCCTTGTTTCTGTGACTATGAATCTAAAGTTGATCGTCTCAATAAAGAAAACGTACACAGTATATATTCTCATGCTAAAAAAAATTTCATACAAGAAAGACCAAGATGGCGATATGAACACATCTAAATCATTTTGTTTCCAATGTAAAATTCTTTTATATATCTATTTGTGTGATTTTTAAATATGATGTCACCAACATAACACTTAGTTGCAAAAATGGGTACACAAATGTGATATAACAAGAGCTAGAAGGTAGCATCGAAATATGATTCCTTAATAACTTTTTTTGTTGAATTTTTCATTTCACGAGGAAGAAAACAGAAACAAATTTTCCCCTATAGCAGAAGTTTCATGTCACTTGTAGGTTCTTTTTTTGTTCTGAAACATACACTATCAGTTAAAACTATTAAGTGACAGATAAATAAGAGAATGTTAAACTGTTATGCTAAAATATTGCATCATAACAATTATGAAAAATTTGATGTTCATAAAACAGGAAGCCATAGTGAGTACGGCATTAGCAGGAGCAATCATTGGAGCCTCAGTGGGTGGATGGATTAACGATCGATTTGGAAGGAAAAAAGGAATCATACTTGCAGATACCCTCTTCTTTATTGGTTCTGTTATCATGGCTGCTGCTACAAATCCAGCTATTCTCATTGTTGGTAGAGTTTTTGTTGGACTTGGTGTTGGAATGGCTTCAATGGCATCCCCTTTATACATCTCAGAAGCATCTCCAACTAGAGTTCGAGGAGCACTAGTTAGTCTCAATGGATTTCTTATCACTGGTGGACAATTCCTTTCTTACCTTATCAACTTGGCCTTCACAAATGTGGGTAAATTATGCTTCACTTGTTCAACCTCTTTAGCTATTTTCATCAACATTGTGACGTAAAATATGCTAGTGACCATTGCATATGCTTTGTCTATTTTAATAAACATATATACCAATGGTTCATTAATGATTAAGCTTCTTTTAAATTCTAATTGCATTGTCTAGATTTTTTCTTTTTTTTTAATACAAACTAGAGTTTTATAACTTTGCTGTTGTTTGATATCATTTGTTCAGGCACCAGGAACATGGAGGTGGATGTTAGGAGTTGCAGCAGCACCAGCTTTGACGCAAATCGTACTCATGCTTATGCTCCCAGAATCACCTCGTTGGCTATTTCGAAAGGTTCCATTATTATCACTTTTTTAAAATAGTGCATGTAATCTAATTTTTAATATTTTCAAAATGTGTGTCTTAACTTGCCTTTCTTTATTGGCTTTTATGTTAAATACCAGGGAAAAGAAGAAGAAGCTATAGAAATTTTAAGGAAGATTTACCCTCCCCAGGATGTTGAAGATGAAATTAATGCATTGAAGGAATCAATTGAAATGGAAATCAAGGAAGCTTCAGCTTCAGATAAGATCAGCATACTGAAGCTGCTGAAAACCAAAACTGTAAGAAGAGGTTTATATGCAGGAATGGGGCTTCAAATCTTCCAACAATTTGTTGGTATCAATACTATAATGTACTACAGCCCTGCCATTGTTCAATTAGCTGGTTTTGCATCCAATCGTGTAGCACTACTTCTGTCACTTGTCACAGCTGGGCTAAATGCATTTGGTTCTATTTTGAGCATATATTTTATTGATAAAACTGGGAGGAAGAAGCTTCTGCTATTCAGTTTGTCTGGTGTTGTAGTCTCCCTTGTTGTTTTAACTGTTGTGTTCAATCAAACTACAAGTCACTCCCCAATGGTTAGCACAATTGAAACCTCTCACTTCAATAACACATGTCCTGATTATAGAACAGCTTTGAACCCTGCTGAATGGGATTGCACGAAATGCCTCAAAGCTTCTTCAGAGTGTGGCTTTTGTGCTTCTGCATCTAATAAGGTAAACGAGTCCTTCAAAAGGTTTTCCCATTCCCATATTTCATATACATTGGTACTAGTCTCCATTTAGCATATGGTACTAAACTACTAATCATTATTGCATCAATTAAGGAATATGGTCATCATATTTTATTCTTAATCTAAGTTCTAAAACAAAATAAGTCCCTATTAAACCCCGACTAGTAAGAGTGAGGGTGAGGGCAGCTTTACCACTTTTCAGTCACAAAAGACAGCTTTACCACTGTTCTAGGCTTGCTTTTTTCCTAATTTCTAACACAATTACCAATTATTTTGCAGCTCTTACCTGGGGCATGCTTAATCTCCAATGACACAACAGAAGATCAATGCCAAAAGGAACACAGACTATGGTACACTAAGGGATGTCCTAGCAAATATGGATGGCTTGCAATAATTGGCCTTGCACTCTACATCTTATTCTTCTCGCCAGGGATGGGAACTGTTCCATGGGTTGTTAACTCAGAGATCTATCCCTTGAGGTACAGAGGAATCTGTGGAGGAATGGCATCTACCTCAAATTGGGTTTCAAATCTCATTGTTGCACAGTCCTTCCTATCCTTGACAGATGCTATTGGGACTTCATTCACATTCATGATATTTATATTCATCACCATTGCAGCCATTATCTTTGTCATTATTTTTGTGCCAGAAACCAAAGGACTTCCAATGGAGGAAGTGGAGAACATGCTTGAAAGAAGATCTCTTAACTTTAAGTTTTGGCAAAGAAGTTCTGACTCTGGTGAAGTACTGAAACAAAAGACTCAATCAGTTTGAGTCAATGAGTTGTATCATGGTATTAATGTATAGATAGTAGGGAACTATGGGATTGGACAATAATGTTAGAAGAGTAAGATGTCGCATGTTAGATTAGCATTATAGATATATTACATTATCTTTAAAATTTATATTAAAAATTTTAAAATTTGGGTATTTGTGTATGCTGTTTGGTGAACCAAGTTAGTATGTGGAATCCACAAAATTACAGTACCATTTATGGATCTCAGATTTCAAGAAAGGAAATTACCAGATGATTACCATTTCCGTGTCAGTAATCTTCAATTTGTGGAGACAACCAGAATCAAGTAAAAATAACAAGAGGAAACATATGCTTACTGCAACACACACACAATTCAGAAAAAGGAATTACAACTACTTTAAAATTATGTTTGGCACTCTAAGGGCATTATGTTAGGAACGCGTCAATAAGACTGGTAAAGGAAAAAAAAATAATGCTAGATATTTAAAACCATTTTGTCAGAAAGCTTAACTGAATATGTTGGTGTTTATTGTCAGTATGAACTAGGTTATTAAACTGAGCTAGGTTAAGTACTTTCAAAATTCTACACTTTGAAGATAATCTACCAATGAAAGGCTCAGGCAATTCACCTTTTTCAAAAACATGAATAGCACGAATGTGTGAGTTGCTAGTGCTCTTCGACAAATTGTTGGAAATAGCAGCAACAGATAGGCGTATAGTTATTCCATCTGCAAGTGATTGATTCATGTACAACATGGCAAAAATTTAGATCCTTCATTTTTCTAATGATCATTTCATGCAATAAATCATGAACTTGACGTCTTTGAACTTTCCCATCAAAGCCAACTTTCGAAACATGAACTAGACTTCTATGAATTAACTCTGACAAATACTCCTTTGCAACTTGCTCTGAAGTTCTTCTCTCATCAGTTTTAACAAACCCTTCAGCTATCCATTGTCTGAGTTAAACTCTTACGACTAATGGAATAGTCCTCTTGATATATACCAAAGTACAAAATGCATGGTTTCAAATAGTAAAGCAAGTCATCATAACTAAGAGATAAAATCTTTGTTAGATTTGTAAAATGGGCATTACGCTCTCCAACTCTAAGCTCAAATTTTGACTCGCTTTCGGCATTCAAAGATGGTTTTAGATTTTGTTTAAAATAGACCACCAATGGCAGCAATTGGCAGAGGTAACATATATGGACTATGGTATATATTCTCATGCTCAAAAACTTATGATACAAGAAAGAGCAAGATGGAAATATGATCTCCTCTAAATCACATTTTTTTTTAATGTGAAAATCTTTTTATCTATTTGTGTGAATTTTAAAATTGATATTACCAACTTACAACTTAGTTGCAACAATTGGTACATAAATGTGATATAACAAGAGCTAGAAGATCCCATCGATATCTGATTCTTTAACAACTTTTTTTTGTTGATTTTTCATTTCACAAGGAAGAAAAAAGAAACAAATTTAAGTTACAGAACTTTGTGTTTTTCCCCTGTATCAGAAGTCTCATGTCACTTGTAGGTTCCTTTTTTTGTTCTGAAACATACACTATCAGTTAAAACTATTAAGTGACAGATAAATAAGAGAATGTTAAACTGTTCTGCTTATTTCATCATAACAATTATGAAAACTTGATGTTCATAAAACAGGAAGCCATAATGAGTATGGCTCTCGCAGGAGCAATCATTGGGGCTTCAGTTGGTGGATGGATTAACGATTGATTTGGAAGGAAAAAAGCAATCCTACTTGCACTTGTTCAATTTGTAAGAAGAGGTTTACTATAAGAAGAGGAACAAACAGCAAAATTCAATATCTGTTACCTAATCAAGATTTTCAATTATAATTTAAAAAGAAAAAATGCATTATGTCTACATATCCTGCATGTTGACTGAAGACTAAGAGGGAATAAAAAGTGAGAAGCGGTGTGTGATATCTCCATCACATTGAAAGTAGGTATATGTATATGTAAGTGCAGAGATAGTACAAGTTGCTGAACAAATATGGAGCTTAAGATTGGAAGCAAAACATGCATTGAACTTGCACAATGGTCAGAATTAAAGTAAACACTAACAAATAAACCATTTGATGAATCAAGAACAAGAAAGAAAAAATTCCAGAAAGTTTGCGAATACCCAGAAACATTCAACTGCGAATACACATTCAACCAGAATAATAAGGTAAATTTGAATAATCTAAAACCACATAAACATAAAAAACAACTAATTAAGAGAGTGACAATTGTGAAAACCCAATTCATTCAATAACACGGATAACCGAGTTTTCAAAAGTAAACAACTTTCATACAATTATATGAGCAACTAGAACTGTGATATCATCCATCTTTCCACCTTTGTGATTAACTCCTACCTTCTTACAAGCATCTGCAGAAGGGCCTCCAAGTTTGCTCATGGAAAGGCGCCAAGCCATCGATGCAATTACCTTAGCACATTCTTGTACATCCATTAATCTGCCTTCTTCAGTCATATCTTTGAGAACCGATTCAATCTCAAAGGGATACATATTGTCAAAAACACCATCAGTTCCTAAAACTAGAACATCCCATGGCTCTCAACATGAACCTGATACTCCACGGCAAAGTCTGGACGATCACTCCTCACAGCATTCCCCAATTGAAACGGAGTGTTGAATTTGCGCTGCTGAATGGGGGACTGAAACAACATTGTGTTGTTTCTGAACAACATCAAGCCACTGTCACCAACATTGACACCATGCAAGACATTTTTCTGAAGACTAACAATGGATGCAGTGGATGACCCTTTAGCTTTTGTATTCATGAATCATGAAAGCATGACTCAAGACTCTTTTTGGGTCAACAGAGTCTTTTGCTTCTTCTTTGATTGCAACGGTAACATTCTTCATGAGCTCACGGGCATAATCACCAGCGTCGATGCCTTTCCTAGCCCATCCACCAACACCATCAGCAACCCCATGATTTGCTTTTCCTCACATATGAAGTGGGCATCTTCTCCCAATGGCTTCATGAAATTTATCTTTGGATAGTAATAACCTCTCGCAACCATCTTCAAGCTCTCAAACTCTTCTCCAACACGGTGCTTCTTGAGCTTGACGCTTCTTCACATTCCAATGAAACAGGTGCCTCTTGAGCTTGACGCTTCTTCACATTCATCATCTTTGAACGAACGATTCAGAGAAAACAAAAACAAACGCAGCAAAGATAGACAGACAAGAAGAGGATCAAAACCCGCTCTTTACAAACTGAAAGTGAAGGGAGATTACGCGCTTTGGGAAACTGTTTTTTTTCTCTGCAATGCAATTACGTTGCTTTGCTTCTAAGTTTGCAAACTACAAACGGCTATAAAAAACATTCTGGCTTAAATTCAAACGGATATAATAATGGGAAATATAAGAATCATGTCGGAAGAAAATGACACTCTTCGTCCTCCGGCAACTAATCTTGAGTATACGGTGTCGTATCCTGATTTTGATTTGACTTTTTTTTTTTAAGCGTGAAAATCACACTTGTGTGTGCAAGAAAATGATCTTGTCATTGTCATGTGACATGACAAAAAGCGAACCTATAATAATTTAAACTCTCCTCATGTTTAATTAATAATTTGACTCTTATTAATTATTAGGTTAGTAATTTTTATTTTTTTTATATAGGAAACCAATTTCCTTCATTGGGCTTAAAATTAATTTTTTAATTTGGATTAAATGAAATTTAAGTTGAGTTTTATTTCAATCTTGTTTCTGTGTTAACTTAAAGTAGTGTTAGTGAGTGTCTACCAAAAAATAATAATAATGTTAGTGAGGTTGTTATTATTCAGTTGAAGTTAAATTTAATGGGTTTTATTTTATTTATTTTTTAAATTGAAGACGCTGTCACATATAAGATATGACTTTTCTTGGAAATCTTGGATTGGGAAAAAAATAGAAGTTGTTTTTGTTTCTCTGTTGTAATATTAATTTTTTTCAAAATTTCCTGCATTTTTCTTCTCAAAATTTAAAATTATATAGATCTTTATTTCTTATTACAGGAAAAACATTAAATTCGTTAAAAATAAAAAAAATAAGTAAATAAAAATTATATATAACTAGAATAAGAAATAAATTAATAAAATAAGTTGTAAGCAAATAAATCCTAAAAAAGTGAAAATTAATAAAATATACTTTTTTCGTATACCAACTTTGATTATTTTTTAGAGGCGAGTTGGTCTCCTAGGGATCATAATAAGTTTTGACTCTTTGAACCGACTATAAAAATAATCTGAGTCGAGACTTAGTTACAGAGTAAAACTCTTTGTCTCTCTCCAAAAATATATTTGATGGAAATCGAACTCCAATTCTCTTCCCACCTATATACTTTATTTATTTGATGCTAGTTAGGCACCCCAATAGTTCGAAAAAAGAGAGAAAAGAAAAAATCCTTTGTTGCATTTAACGTCAGATGATAAATAAACAGATTTGTCTACTTATGAACAACGTATTGATAATATCTTAGCCTTACTTTGTGATTCTCTCCTTGTTTTTCTTTGTGCCGATACTATAAACATAAAACAGTTGGTTTGATTAGAATTGCATATTACTTTTTTGAATTAGTTTATTTGTTGAAATTGATATCATTCGACACATTTTGATTTAATGTTTCTATTTTTATTGCACAATTTTTTTTTCACCACACTTACGTAAAAGTGAGTGAGTCTCACTAATATTTCATTTCTTTTTCTTTGTAATGGGATCTACTCATTTTTATGTGAGTGTGAAAGAAAAAATTTTCTACAACAAAAATAAAAATAAGAAAAAAAAATCTACAATTAAAACAAAAATATTTTTACCTTATTATACTATATTATATAAAACAAAATACAAGTAAGTGAAGCCATCATGAGGTGTTATTCGAGACCCATCAGGAGCTTGAGTTATCGGCTTTTGTAAAAATTTATGTCCAGGTACTATCTTGCATGTAGAATTGTGGGCTTGCTTGAAAGTATTGAATCTTGCTTGGGACAAGGGATTTAGAAGAGTATGTGAAGAGAGTCTTTGTTAACTAACACGTGTATTACACATGTTATGTGATTAGTTAGTTAGACCTTTCCCTTATACACGTGTACTGTAATTAGTCTGTTAGTGAATCGGTTCTAAGTTTGTTAATTAGTTAGTGTTTTTCTTGCTTGACTTGGACCAGTATATATATTGTGATGTAGCTCTTAATGAAATTGTATCGATTCATTTTTCCTTTCTTCTGAAATATGAGGTTCATGCCTATACTTCATTCGCTTCCGTATTCTATTATGGTATCAAAGCCCTTCACGGAGCTCTGATATTCGCCTTCGTTCTCTTTGATTTTCTTCTGGTCTGTTTTTCCTTTTGAGATCCTGTTTAATAACGGCGAATCAGAGTTCCGTATATGCAATGGAACCTGTAGCAGATGCTACTCTTGCCAATGGCGATTCTACACGAACATGCAATGGAACCAGTGCAAGCTTGTTCGATCTATTAGATCCAGGTAGTCCTTATTTTTTACATCCGAGTGAAAATCCATCACTCGTTTTGGTTTCCTCTCCTCTGAATGAAAAAAATTATCACGGCTGGGCAAGGGCGATGACTATGGCCTTAGTCTCGAAGAACAAATTGTCGTTTGTGAATGGGAAGATCTTGGCTCCAGATCCATCAGATTCACGTTTTCCAGGTTGGGAGAGATGCAACACCATGGTTCTGTCATGGTTGCATCGTTCAATCACAAGCTCCATCTCTCAGTCGATACTGTGGATGGAAAGAGCATATGATGTGTGGAGAGATTTGAAGGAGAGATTCTCGCAGTCAGATATATTTAGAATATCAGATCTGCAAGAGGACATATATCGAATGCATCAAGAAGATAGTTCGATTTCAGATTATTTTACTCAGCTTAAGATCCTTTGGGACGAGTTGGAAGCATTGCAACCAACACCTACATGCAAATGTGTAAATCCGTGTTGTTCTATTGGATTGGAGGTAAAGAACATCAGAGAAAGGGACTATTCCATTAGGTTTCTTAAAAGCCTCAGTGAACAATATTCACATGTGAGGTCACAGATCATGCTTATGGATCCACTACCTTCAATTAATCGAGTCTTTTCTCTTGTTGTTCAACAAGAGAGACAGCTACAGATGGAAGCTGTTATTCCTAATCAAGATACCTCAAAGGTATTCATGAATTCTGTTGAACGAGCTCCTGATAGAGGACATTTGCAATTTCGCGGCAGAGGACGCGGTCTCTCTGGTGGACGTGGTTTTTCTGGTGGACGTGGCAGAGTATCAAGGCTTTGCACTTACTGTGGGAAGACTAGTCATACTGTGGAAACATGCTTTGAAAAGCATGGATATCCACCTGGTTATAGGCAAAGAAATGTTGCACACAAGGCCAATGCAGCTATAGGTGAACCTACTGATCAGATTGGTGATATTGCACAGGTTGAGACAAAGAAAAACACTAACTAATTAACAAACTTAGAACCGATTCACTAACAGACTAATTACAGTACACGTGTATAAGGGAAGGGTCTAACTAACTAATCACATAACATGTGTAATACACGTGTTAGTTAACAAAGACTCTCTTCAGTATGGTTGGAGGGTGATTCTCTCTCAGCCCAATAGCTTATATCAAATGGGTTTCAGAGTGACCATCCTTCTGCTATTTTGGTTCAGCGAATTAAGAACATGTTATAAATATGTTGGCAAGTCCATATTTTCCATATTCACCGCGAGGGAAACAGAGTGACTGACTTTCTAGCCTATTATTCTTACAATTTTTCTTGGGCAGTTCAAGTTTTCAACGAACCTCTTTCGGGATGTCTAGAGAGTCTATATACTGACACCATTGGTATCCACTTGTCTAGGATATGTGCTTAGTTTTCTCTTGTTTTTGATTTTAATTTCCTGTTATCTCCAAAAAAAAATATAAAATAAAATACAAGTAAGTAAAGCCAATGTTATGCATCAGTTATACATAAATTATTTTTGCTCCAAATTCATACTTCTTTATTGAGTTATCTCCTCAATTAATTAAACTTACTTTCTATTTATAAATTCACATGAAAGATTTAGAATGTGAAGGAATTAAAATCTCAATTCTCAACCAGTCTAGATGAGTAGGATTTTTATTTTTATTTTTAAAATATACTCGTAAAATTGAATACCCAAAAAGCATTAACTCCTCTTTTAAAATATATTGGACTAAATTTTTACTTTTAAAGAAAATAAAATAAAATAACCTCCCTTTGAGTCTTATTTCTAGAATCTAAATATTGGCCAATTAATTTAGGCCTGAGTCGAGTTGTGGGCCGGATTTTAAGTAACCCCAAACATATTTTATTTATTTATTTATACTAATAAGTAATTTTTTAATATACAAAAGAAGATGATTATATTGACAAACTTTTTTTTGTATAAATTGTATTATGACTTATCGGTAAAACTTCATTCAAAAATGTCTTACCTGTAAGCTATGATGCACCGACACCGATACGGGACACGACACGACACGCTCACACGTTAATTCTAAAAAATATCATATTTTGACACGTTGGGACACGTTTTGATATTAAATAAAATTTTTAATATATTTAATATAATTTATATTTAATACACGTGTCGGAGCGTGTCGGAACGTTGACCGCGTGTTGAAAAAAGTTGACTGCGTGTCGAAAAAACGTGTCAGAGAGTTGACCGTGTGTCCCTAAATGTTGACCGCGTATCAGACGCGTGTCGGAACGTGTCCATGTCCGACACACAAATTTTTTAAATATTCCTGTGTCCATGCTTGTTAGCCTGTAAGAAATAATTTAATTTGTAAAAAATTATAAACAAAAATTTTATAATTATAATCTTCTCCGGTAGTTTGAATTTCAATGTGGCAAATAGATGTTGAAGTAGCATTATTTTTGTTCTTTTCATTGTCACTATATAGGGATCAAAAGAAAAATAAGAGAAAACTATAATTACTAAATCATAAATGAGAATTGAACTAAATAAAAAATTTGAAAAATCCTGTAAGGACCAAATGCACAATGAGTGTTCACTATCTACATATGCCATGATGGCAGTGTTTATAAAACCATAGCTTAAAGTATAGTGGTAGTGTACTGTATATTCTTAAACGCTACAAATGGATAATGAAAAAGTGAA